AAAAAAAAAAAGAGAAGATCCAAGTAAACACAATTAGAAATGATAAAGGGAGGCTGGATGCAGTGGCTCACACTTGTAATCCCAGCACTTTGGGAGTCCAAGGCAGGTGAATCACTTGGGGCCAGGAGTTTGAGACAAGCCTGGCCAACATGGCAAAACCCTATCTCTACTAAAAATGCAAAAATTCACCATGCATGGTGGTACACGCCTGTAATCCCAGCTACTGAAGATGTTGAAGCAGGAGAATTACTTGAACCCTAGAGGTGGAGGTTGCATTGAGCCAAGATTGTGCCATTGCACTCCAGCCTGGGGGACAGATCTGTCTCAAACTAAATTTTTTTAAAAAATGGCAAAGGAGACATTACCACTGACCCTACAGAAATACAAAAACTATCAGACGCTACTATACACACCTCTATGCATACAAATTAGAAAATTTAGAAGAAATGAATACATTGCTAAACACATACAACCTCCCAAGACTAAACGAGGAAGAAAGTGAATCCCTGAAGAGACCAATACTGTGTTCTGTAACTGTATAAGTAAGACAAAACCTACCAACCAAAAAAAGCCCAGGGCCAGACAGACTCACAGCTGAGTTATGCCAGATGTATAAAGAAAAGCTGGTGCCATTCCTACTGAGACTATTTCAAAAAATTGAGGAGGACAGACTCATCCCTAGCTCATTCTAGGAGACCAGCATCATCCTGAAACCAAAATGTGACAGAAACAAAACCAAAAAAGAAAATTTCGGCCCAATATCCACAATGAACACAGATGCGGAAATCCTCAACAAAATACTAGAAAACCAAATTCAGCACCACAACAAAAAGCTAATCCATCATGGTAAAGTATGTTTTATCCCTGGGATGCAAGTTTGGTTCAAGGTACACAAATCAATAAATGTGACTGATTACATAAACAGAACTAAAAATTTTTAAAAAACCACATTATTATCTCAATAGATGCAGAAAAGTCTTTTAATAAATTCAACATTGCTTCATGTTAAAAACCCTCAATAAACTAGGAATTGAAGAAATGTACTTCAAAGTAATAAGAGCCATCTACAAAAATCCCACAGCCTACATCAGACTGAATGAGCAAAGGCTGGAAACAATCCCCTTGAAAAATGGAAGACAAGTGTACCTCTCTTACTGCTCCTACTCAACATACTATTGAAAGTCCTGGCCAGATCAACCAGGCAAGAGAAAAAAATAAAAGTTATCTAAATAGAAATCCAGGAAGTCAAATTACCCTTGCTTGCAGATGACATAATTCTTCATCTAGAAAACCTCATAGTCTCTGCTCAAAAGTATTTTGATCTGATAAACAACTTCAGCAAAGTTTCAGGATACAAAATTAACAGATAAATATCAGTAGCTTTCCTGTACACCAACAACATCCAAGCCAAGCGTCAAATCAAGAATGCAATCCCATTAATAACTACCACAAAAAGAATTATATACCTAGGAATACAGCTAACCTGAGAGGCAAATGATATCTACAATGAGAATTACAAAACACTGCCTAAAGAAATCAGAAATGATGCAAACAAATGGAAAAACATTCTATGCTCATGGATAGAAAGAATGAACATCATTAAAATAGCAATGCTATTCAAAGAAATTCACAGATTCAATGCTATTTCTATCAAACTACCAATGACATTCTTGACAGAATTAGAAAAAAGCTATTTTAAAATTGACATGGAACCTAAAAGGAGCCCAAATTGCCAAGGGACTGTTAATCAAAAAGAACAAAGAAGGAGGCATCATGTTACCCAACTTCAAACTATACTATAGGGCTACAGTAACCAAAAAAGCATGCTACTGGCACACAAAAAAAGACACATAGGCCAATGGAACAGAATAGAGAGTCTAGAAATAATGTCTCACACCTAAAACCATCTGATCTTTGACAAAGGTGACAAAAATAAGAAATGGGGAAAGGACTCTCCATTCAATAAATGATGCTGAGATAACTGGCTTGCCATATGTAGAAAATGGAAACTGAACCCCTACCTTATACCACATACAAAAATCAACTCAAAATGAATTAAAGCCTTCATTGTAAAACCTAAAACTATAAAAATCCTGGAAAATAACCTAGGAAATACCATTCTGGACATAGGACATGACAAAGATGCCAAAAGCCGACCGCAACAACAACAAAAAAATTGACGAAAAGGATTTAATTAAACTAAAGAGCTTTTGCACAGCCAAAGAAACTACCAACAGAGTAAACAGACAACCTACAGAACGAGAGAAAATATTGAACCTGGGAGACAGAGGCTAAAATGAGCCAAGATCATGCCACTGCACTCCAGCCTGGGTGAAAGAGAGAGACTCTGTCTCAAACAAACAACAAACAAAAAACCATTCCATCAGAAAAACTTGGTGGCCATAGAAGGAAAGTAGAGTAGTTACAAGCATCAGGGAAACATAATAGTCCCGACTTCAGCAATGTTCTTACCATTCACTGCTTTACACTGTGGTGTCTTCTGAATCCATTTTCCAGAACCTACTTTAACTTTCATCACATATTAGAGTCTCAGTACAATTTAGTTAGACTGAATTGAGCCACAGCTTTCATAGCAATGGCATTGCATTTTCTCCACAATTGAGGAGTTAGAAAGAACCATCACACATGCCTGTTCTGCTAGAAGCAGAAGTGTGTAATCCAGGTCATGTCCTTGCTCTCTCCACCTATGAGATAGCTTTCTGCACATTCATAGAGACCACCAGTGAAGGCATGATATCTAAGCTTAGCTTCAGTTGTGTGATACTTTGCTGAGACATAGCCTCCTTCTGTTTAGTGAGGTCAGTAGCTGTCTTATTTTTCATATGAATAATATCTATTTTAGATACACACAGAGAAAGTTTAACTTGCTCTTTGTTCACGTCATCTCGTTAGTTACTTAATGGTTCATCCTAAGCTTTCTCTCATCTCATGAATCCTGATAAAATCATTCCAAATTATCCATTGACCATCAAATTGCATTGCTCATCTTGTCATACTGTATTTAATGTGTCATTCTACGTTGCCACTCCAAAACCAGATTAGAATATGGTATGTCCATGTTTTCAAAAAATGTACTCACTGCTACTTGGTGGCAAAAATAATCCATTGATATTTCGAGGTTTGCTGTGATAAAAGATACAACTGATCTTCACACAACCAAGAGGTTGGGTTTCCCAGAAGCATGAAATGCTGCAGTTTTGCTAGATAAAAGGAGATGGGGGGAAATGTAGTGATTATATACCATATTCGCAACAAATACAATGTGCTATAATACAGCACAATGAGACAAAAACAATTATAGTTAACTGATTTAGGATCATGTGTGTTTTCCAGCGTTTCCAAGCCCTGCTATTCAAAAGATGCAATGGGTATATCTAAAACATTTTCCTCCATTAAGTTGAAAAAAATGGAAAAATTCCTAAAATCAAATAGTAGAAGGAAGAAAGATTTCTTCCCTATTGTTTTGTAAAAGTATAATTCAGCATTATTGAAGGGAAATGCTTTTTAACAAAAATGATGATGCTAAGTAATTCTACCTGCATTTCCATGTGTCTAAATCTGCAAAGTGGATCTAAACATTTCCTCTCTCTCCATAATGAGCACACAGTGTCACTGTCAAGGGCCTCTTCACAGTGTCGAAATCGGCACTGGGAACCCTAAAAGAAAAAGTAAACAGTGTAGAAAACTCAATTTGTTGACATTAGTGTTCAACAACAATAGGCTGCTAATCAGTAAAAGAAATGAGTAGATTAAATTAGGATCACAAAGATATACTCTACCAATATTAGACCATAAGTCTAAATTTCCGCAAATTAGTCTAACTTTAGTGAGAAAGCAACAAGATAATCTAATGATTAAATAGCATAACATGCCGCAAATGACTGATAAAATGCTACCTTTTGTTATCCATTAATCCATATGGTCCACTAGGAATAGAGATGTAAGACTCCAGTGGCACTTTGATCACAATCCAATGACATAATAACTTAATTTCTCTTTCTGAAGAAAGTCAGATGAAATTTTTAAGAATTTCTAGCTATATTCTAATTGTGAAAATGGTTTCTATGAATCAATCCTTTTATTAGATAATCTGTTTTCTCAGTCTATGGAGATACTGTTAGGTTTTTATGGAGCTTAAAAGGTATGTTATTGTGGAATTTTAATTATTATGTTTTGATATACTATATTAAATGTATGTGTTTTGTGCCTTTGGCTTAGAAAGATAAAGAATTGCCTATATTCACTGACTTCTTTATATGCCAACAAAAGTTGATGTGGATAGTTTCAATAGGCTGCTATTCTTAAAAATTCTACGTTCTTTTACACATAAATGCACACTTGGTAAAACTATAAGCCCCTGTTGTGTGGGCAGAGAGGATAACATTCTTCCCTCTTTTGACACATGTTCCACGGTTGTTAGTTATCTTTTATCTCTCTCCTACTTCCATCTTCATTCTTTTCCCCTTGTTAAAGTAGATCCATGTACTCTCATAGCATGGGTTAGTGTGCAGGGGCTTTCAAGTCAATAAACTGGTATTTGAACCTCTGGCTCCACTACTTGCCCATCGTCACAAAGTTAAACTTAACTCATACTCTCTGTGCTTTAGTTTCCTCATATGTAAACAGGAAATAAAAAAATACTGTCCTCACAAGTTAGCTGTAAAATTGACGTGAGATAAGGTGTTGTGAGCTATTATTATTTTTATTTATTCATTTAATTATTTACTGATAACTTACTACTCATTAGTCACTGTGCTAAATACTTGGGCATACAGCAATAAAATAGACAAGACACTCTGCCAACCTGGACACGGATTCTGTTGTTATTCTTTATCATCCTAGCATTTAATCTAACAGGTAATAGAAGTGAATCTAATTCCTGTAGTCAGAGAGGTTGACTCTATTCAGGTTTCCTAACAGAGAGGAAATACTTAAAACCAGACGTCATCTTTTTTCACTGGATTCTTTCTGGCATGAGCACAAAGCTTCAAATACTGAGTTTTTACCTTTATGTGGTTTTATTAAACTCCATTCATCCTAATTTCGTGGGGGAATTATCAGTTTTTCCCATTTAACTTTATAAACTTTAATTTATATGTGGCCAATTGGCTTATATTAATTTTCTTTTCTTTTTTATGATATTTAAACATTGGTTGTTACTTAGACTTTTGACAAATGAAAACTGAGTAATTGGGTTAAAAAATTTCAAATAAGGAAACAAATTTATTACACTAACTTTGACAGTTACCTGAATTCAACTATTTAAATTTATAATGACTGGAATCATATTAACTAAAACAAAATCTTATATCATATAATGTTTCAATATTAGGAATTTAATGTCTCAAGGTGCCATCATACAGGCAAAAGTGCCACATGAATATTCAAAAGCTATAGGCATGTAACTGACATATAAGGGTAGTTTCAAGCAAATAATAGTTTTAAATTATCTCAGATTTCTTCAGATAAATTCAGTATGTCAAAAATACATGATAGGCTTTTTTACTCCATATTTTAAGTATATAAGATATCTTCCAAGAAAATAGTAAATTTTGGTTCAGCAATGCAAGTTACTGCCATATCTTCCTTCATTCTACTAAAAAGATTAAGCATGTGAAGTACTGTAAATAGTACAATATTTACCTTTATGCATGTGGAATTAAAAAAGAAATAGCAGTCATTCCCAACTTCTGCCATTTTCAACTCTCTTGCTGCTAATCCAATTTTTTTTGAAAAATATATATGTATAAGAATCGCAGAAATGCAAATATAAGAACTATCAGTGTGTAAGAGAGAAAAAGAATATCTTTTTCACAGTCTTTCAGGCTATCAGTAGTATTCCTTTAAAACTGACCTCCTGTTGACAGTATATTACACAATAGATAATTCTTAAAGAAATTTAAATTAGAAGATACCTTCTCTAGCTTTGCAGAAATGTTGAAAGTGGTTGCTAGTAAGCACACAAACTCAAACTTCCAGAATTTTCCTCATTGTTACCTAATCCATTGTTTGCTCATCATAAATGACCTCACATGTAACTGTAGGCTAGTTTACCTGAGTGAACACTGTATTTCCCTTACTCATTAACTAAAAAGGACTAGCAAAAATGAAATAGCATATTTTAATCTTTAAATGTTCTGATTTAATATGGACTATAAACTAGTTTAGACTTTTATAATAGAAAGTAATAAGTATTTCGCAAGTAAACAACTATTTCTAAATCTTCAATTCTGTAGAAGGTTTGGAAATAACACTAAAAATTTGACATAGGTAAATGAGCTATCCATATTCTAAGACAATAAAAACAATTATTTAAATATGTATCTCTGCTATCCATTGATTTGGGAAAAATCATATTCAGATTATGATATATTAATAGGTACTTGAAAATAAATTAGGCTACATAGTCATCTTGTAGCTATATTCCATTTATTTTTTCATCCATCATAAAAAGAGTAATATCTTCTTCCTATAGCAGAAAGGTTTCAGAGTGCTTGAAGGTTTTGAGAATTTGTTGAAAATAAGTGAAGTACTCTGATTCCCAGATGAAACATTTCAATCAGCAGTTATTGATATCTTCCTCTTAGTATCTTTAATCAACAAATTAAAACCTAGCAGATATTAATAAAAAATCATAACTGTATTAGTCTGTTTTCATGCTGCTGATAAAAACATACCGGAGACTGAGAGAAAAAAGAGGTTTAAATGAACTTACAGTTCCACATGGCTGGGGAGGCCTCAGAATCATGGCAGGAGGTGAAAGGCACTTCTTACACAGTGGTGGCAAGAGAAAATGAGGAAAAAGCAAAAGCGGAAACCCCCTGTAAACCCATCAGATCTCGTGAGACTTATTCACTATCACAAGAATGGCATGGGAAAGACCTGTCCCCATGATTCAATTACCTCCCCCTGGCTCCCTCCCACAACACATGGGAATTTTAGGAGATACAATTCAAGTTGAGATTTGGGTAGTGGCATAGCCAACTATATCATTCGGCCACTGGACCCTCCAAATCTCATGTCCTCACATTTCAAAACCAATCATGCCTTCCCAGTAGTTACAAAAGTCTTAACTCATTTCAGCATTAATCCAGAAGTCCACAGTCCAAAGTCTCATCTGAGACAAGGCAAATCCCTTCCACCTATGAGCCTATAAAATCCAAAGCAAGATAGTTGCTTCCTAGAAACAATAGGGGTACAGGTATTGGGTAAATGCAGCCACTCCAAGTAGGAGAAATTGGCCAAAACAAAGGGGTTACAGGCCCCATGCATATCCGAAATCCAGCAGTGCAGTCAAATTTTAAAGCTCAAAAATGATCTTTGGTGCATGCTAGAGCACTAACATATCAGTCAGAGAAGAAAGACTTTCTTCAATTTTTAATCCTGTGACACCACTTTTAGTACAGTGGCTGGTAGCAACTCCTTGGTAACTCTTCAGAATTATAAGAATTGGGCAAAGTTGATGGCTGCTATCCATCAGAGCGTAAGTCCAGTTTATAATCGTGAATTGATCTTGTGGCTCTCCCCTGATGTGGATTTGTGTTTCTGCCAGAAGCTTTGCTCCAGCTACTAAGGAAGCCAAAGTTTTGGAAATAGAAAGTGCTTGCTAAAAGGTGACTAGATTTGCTACTACTATTCAAAAATAAGTGGAGTGTGGTTTTAGAAGATGAGTATTTCCCAGAAATGACAGAATGTAGGACCTAAAAGGTTCTGTGGCAGTTTGGGAGGTGACAGTTAATAGTTGTGAAAATTGTCTCTTTGAAACTCATGAAACAAGCTGCTTTTTCGAATGCTTCTGAAGGAACAAAGAAGTCACTGGCACTTGACTGCAAAATGCTAAAAAGTTCCTGGTGCCAACATTATACAGCCAGTATCAGGTGTTTTCTTTTTTGGTATATCTGGGATGTGATGTGGGAGAGCTTTTTGTGTTTTCCTATGAGAAAAAAGAAAGCAGAAAAGAAAGTAAACACTTTGAAATGGCAAATCTTTTCCATCCTCCCTCCCCTCTGAATCCAGCAATCAAAAAACTGTGAATTTTTACATTTTAATTTTTTCATTGTCAGTATTCAGCATAACTGTGAACTTTTTAAAGGAGCTGTTTTATTTGTTGGGAACCCCCTTACCATTTAGATATCGCTAAGTGAGATATAATTGCTTAATTTTTCCAAGGGCTAAGTCAGTAATATGCTGGGTAGTTGAATACATGCAGATAAGACAAAGAAATGAGAACTGGGCCTAGTCCAAGCCCAAAAAGGATGAAAGTAAAATCAGAATTCCCCTACAACTTCAGACTAGGGACTACTAAATGCAATGAGATGGAAAGGCTACTATTCCTAAATATTTAGTATTTATTTGATTTAGTCATTGTCCATCTTATCACTTACCCTCAAAATATTCTTTTGAGCAGTAAGTTAAAGCTGTTTTTAGCTCACAGTTGATTGACTACCAGTACTCAAGCCATTTCAGCTGTTGGACCTCACCTTTAATTAAAATAGAAAAGATTCCTATGAAAAACTTGAGAATGAAATCCTGGTTGTAGTTATTCCTGTACTTCTGGATTAGTCTAAGACTGAAACTTTGCATTCACTCTGGAAAGAACATCAGAACCATTTCAACCATGTTATGCTGCACAATAAGGCGTAGTTCAAACGGTAACTTTTTTTGATCCTAGGTATTTTATTATAGCGTTTTCTGACAGTCTACTGGAAAAGCAGTTTTCATTCTGCTTGGGGATCTGGGGATGTCTCTAAATATTTCTAAACTTCTATAGTGCTTCCTGCATGAACTAAAGATAACAGGTAAGTAGGTTTCATTGGAACTGCGTTAAATCGATATCTGAAATGTTCATTGCTTATTATTTAAGCTTATTTAACTTCCAAAGAAATCGTCGGTTAAAACCGAGGTGGCGACGGGGGACGCACGTGGGAACGCACCAGGAACGCATCAGCTTCCGCACTACAACTCCCAGAAGGCGCCGCGGCCAGGAAGCCGCTTCTGGATGGGCGTTCCCGCCCCTAGCTGGGGCTTGGCATGGTTGGGGCGTCGCGGCGGTGGCTGGGCTCGGAGTGTGAGTGGCCTAGCGCCGCGCGTGACAGCTGCAGGGCTTATCCACTCCTGAACTGGACGCCGTTCGAAAGCGCGCCCTCCACTCGCACTGCTTGTTGGGCTCATCATGAAGCGCTTGGGCTCCGTGCAGCGGAAAATGCCGTGTGTGTTTGTGACGGAGGTGAAAGAGGAGCCTTCCGCCAAAAGGGATCATCAGGTAAGAGCAGCGCCGGGCAGGCTGGGCGGCCCGCGTGGGCTTCTCCCCGCGGCGCTGGCTCAGTGCGAACCCGGCGAGGGCGGCTGGGCGCGTGAGAACTGCCCTGCAGGCCAGGAGCCTCTGTAGGTTTCCTTGGGGAGGTCTGGGTTGGAAGTCTTATACGTCCAGACTACAAATCCAGGTTCTCGTACTTTTCTTAGTTGTTAAGGCAGGGCATTTGCGAGAGAATTTTCCTGATCAGGAGATTCAAACTTGCCCTCGCAGGGAAATGGAAAAACCACAGGTCAGCACCTGTGAGTTTCAGGTCAGCACCTTTTGGGGAAACCTAATCAGATAATTGCCTCAGTCCAAGCTTTACTACTTTTCAAAAGTGCGGTGAGAAAGGGGGGATATTGTAAGACTTGCTTTACCTGTTATGTCGGAACCATTGACGGTAGCCTAATTAGGTCACTGAAGATCAGACCTCATGTTACCAGTAATTACTTAATTTATTCTAACTTTGGTGTTCTCATCTCAAGGTTTTCTATTGTAGCAAAGTGTTTTCTATGTAATGTGCCCTCGGTAAATGCTAGTGAGTAAATAATAAGTAACCTATATTAAGGCAATTCTTTCATATTGTACTATAAAACGTTGTAGTCTGATCAGTAGAATCCCCAGTCATTAGTTGGGTGCTTCCCAACTTTGCTGATTACATACAAAATCCACGTGTCCATTGGAAATCCACCTCACTTGAGTTTCATCACTGGCACTGGCCTTCTCATCTTCTAGACCAAAATGTGTTTAAGGCAGATTGTCCTGTTATCTTTAGTCCCAGCCTGTAGGACCTGGCACGTGGTAAGCACTGGATAAATATTTGTTGAATTAAAGAATGAACCCTGGAATCATTTCAGGCCAGTTTTCCATTCACCTTGATGCTTTTTACTTTATAGCATCTGATCTTTTCATTCTTTCTACTGCTGTCACTGCTGTTATAGTTAATATTTCACATCCTGCCCATTGCACTAATTGGTCTTACTCGCCACTCAGTCTGATCATCACCATGTTCTTTCCTCGTCTAAGTACCAGCTATTACTCAATGTTTGTAGCAGCAATCACCCTTTTTTTTTTTTTAGCTGTAACAAATAATGCAGTCCATATAAAACATTATCATCTGTGTTAGTATTTCACTCTACTGTGATTTCCAACTTTGTATGTTAGAGGGGAGTAGTTTGTAAAAATATTCTCCACCAGGGAAAATAAACAGCCCCTTCTCTTGCCTCTCTGCAATTAAGAACAGCTTACAGTATTGTTTATAGCATAGCATCCACATTCTTAATTATAATTCAGGGCCTCCCACTAATGAGGCTCAGTCTACACTCCATCCTTCTTAAAGTGAATTCTCTGTTTTAGCCATCTGTTTCATCCAGTGAACATATCAACCACAATCCTGTCTCTCATTTTTGCTCAGACTGTTCACTCTGGATCACCTCTAGAATGTTTTTAATTTTTCAAGTCAGTTCTTCTCCATAACATCTTAAATCAACTTAGTCATCTCAGTGATTTCTCCTACCCAGAAATTGTAGAGGGCCACTCAACTGATATTCACTATTTTAATACATGTGCTTTTTTCCCCCAGTAATAGTCTAGTCTTGATGACAGGTAGAGAAGGAGAATTTTATGTACCCCTCAGTGTCTTGTGTTGTCCTTTGCACATGTCTATAGCAAAGAC